AGCACTAGATAGTCGTTTCGTCCTATTGTGGGATTCTTCAGCAGCGTGCATCCACGATCCTGTCTAGTCAGTTTCGAAACTAGAACCAGTCGGTCTTGAGCGCTCATATTTAATCTCTAGACCATTGAGCCGACATGTCTAACTTCAATTAATTCAGGAAATCGGGCCGCCGTCGACCATTGTCTTCAGTGAGTTACTATCTCACATTAACGCAATAATATCGTTGGATGCCAACCAGCTCAGTGGTCTAGTAGTTAAGCATTCGTGCACGAAACTGAAAAGTCCTGGGTTAGAATCTCGCGGGGGGCAGGATCATAGATGAGCACTGCTGAGGAGTCCCGCAGTATGACGAAACGGCCGTCCAATACTTTCAGGTTTTCCATGGTGGTCTATCTTCAATTGACTCATGATCTCAACCATTGAAATCACTATATATCCACAAAAACCCTTCTAATATTAATAATTAGTAATAGAAGTTTTTTCTAAATAAAAAAAAAAAAAAAGGCGAGGATTGGCAAAGCAAGGGCCGCATTCCTACAATTGAAGAACATATGGAACTCAAAACAACTTTCAACCAATATCAAAGTGAGAATCTTCAATACGAACGTCAAGGCAATTCTACTGTATGGAGCTGAAACTTGGAGAACTACAACAACCACCATCAAGAAGATACAAGTATTTGTAAATAGTTGTCTACGTAAGATATTCAACATCTATTGGCCGGATACCATCAGCAACAGCCTTCTGTGGGAGGAAATAAACCCGCCTCCAGCTGAAGAAGAAATTAGGAAAAGGTGATGGAAATGGATAGGACATACATTACGGAAATCACCAAACTGTGTCGTTAGACAAGCCCTAACTTGGAATCCTGAAGGAAGGCGGAAAAGAGGAAGGCCAAAGAACACATTACGTCGGATAATAGAAGCAGATATGAAAAGGATGAATTACAACTGGAAGGAGCTGGAAAGTATTGCCCAGGACAGGGTTGGATGGAGAATGCTGGTGAGCGACCTATGCTCCTTCACGAGGAGTAACAGGTGTAAGTAAGTAAGTAAGTAAGTAATAGAAGTTTTTTGGATTATTATTACGGATCTAAAGTCTGAGATATTTTGTTGATTATCAAATAACATTTAAGTCAAATTGTCCAATTTAATGATAGTTTGTACTAATAAGAGGATTATCTTATTATTTAATTAATACATATAATCACATAACTTAATAAGTTAATGACATTTAAAACGAATAATTTATTTGTTTGATTAGGATGATAGTGAAGTATAAGAATGTTAAAAAGAGAATTACTTTGATAACATCTATTAGTGAATAGTATAATACAGATAGTAGATAAGGACTATTATCTCAATTGTTTCTTATATAGATACTATGAAGAAATACATTTTTTTTCTCAACAAGTCGGACTTATCAAGAATTCAATATATGGAAATTACAAGAATGTAATGAGAAGAGAAAAAGTTATTATTGATCAAAATGATGCCTGTTTACACTCAAGTAAATTGTTTGAAATGAAAATTGATGATATGAAGACAATATGAACACAATGATAATATAGAGTATTATGTTTATAACGTATTTTTCATTGAAAACTATATAGAAAGTAACACATTTCAATAATTACGATTGCATCACATAGAATACAGCCCAGGGATTTTATTTTCATTCGCGAATGTTTAACCTGTAGACCACTGAGCCAGCATATATGTGTTTATGCTGTTAAGTTTAATCCGTTGATGGTCTTGTATGATCAACACCCATTGCCTGTGGTTACGTAAGTCGCACTCAACATGATCAAATCTCACGATCTTTCAGTGTCGGTTATATAGTTGTATGTAGTTGGCAGAAAAACTCCACTAGTGTTGTACGCTTGCTATCTTGAGGGAACTGATATTCCCAATGGGGTTTGAACTCACATCATTCATAAGTCACGGTTTGAATAGCTACCATTAAGCTACTGAAGAGTGTGACTGACCTCTTGTATATCTGAGATATTTACACTTGATTACCATCAAAAAGCAACATCGCTTTTCCTGATATTATGTTCTGATAATATATACTTCAACATTACTATAAACGTCTACCATAATATATATATCCAAAACATCGTCGAATTTTTCTCAATCAAACCATTCAACTCCGAGAATGTGATACCACGAAAAGAATCCACTGTAGATGTAAAACTGCTCCATCATGTCAAAGCAAATCAAATGGCAGCTGGTAATAAGTTCTTGTGACCAAACAGTTATTGAAAAGTTGTAGTGATTAGTGTAATAGAGTATGAATTAATTCTGTTAGTTAGGCATTCATCCCATTGGACGTATGCAGCTGCGATATCCTCCAAGCGTTTATATTATTCAATGCTATCTAATCATGTTTATTTATGTATTCGATATATTTTGTATATAAGCGTGTTATTTCATAAGAAAAAAGAAAGCTATTCTTTTGGTTGTTGGTTTTGTTATTGATTTGGAGTCATTTAGTCACGCGTGTCCACAATATTACCTTGTGAGAAACCACCACTTGGCTACATATCGCATCACTGTATATCAATGATTGTTCAGTAATTTTTTTTTCTTTCATTTCAACAATCAAAAAATTGTTCATCAAATCTCACTCCATAAAATTTAGACATCAATTATTCATAAATAAAATTGAATATACCTTGATAACAATTATTATGTTTTAGAAAATAGGATCATACTCATTTAATATCAAAATCATTCACCTAAGCTACAAATCCTCTCCACCATCTCAACATTGAAATATTGTTTACACTTGATATATTTCTTGTATATTGATTGGTATCATGAACCGATAGATGCTAAACCACCATTGAAAACCTGGAAGCAATGGGCGGCCGTTCCGTCCTATTGTGAGACTCCTCAGCAGTGCGCATGCACGATCCCGCTGGCAGGATTCGAACTTTGGGCGTTCGGTCCCGCACGCGAACGCTTAACCTACTGGACCACTGAGCCGGTATCCAATGGTGTATATTTAGGGACTGTTTCATGTTATTTAAAAATGTTGATTTAGTGATAGTTACCTTTATGTTATTGATGGAGTTTTGTTCTCTGAGCTAGATGGTTTGATTGTGGAACTTTCATCGTTCATCTGAATGACATCATCAACATAAACATTAGTAATAATAATAATATAAGGTAAGGGAAGTGATAATTATTGATAATTAAAATAACCCATAGTGTCAATGAATAAGAAAAAGAGAATTCATTAAAGAAAAATTTCTTCTCTCGACAAAATCATTTACTTGAATTGTACATTTGTATTTATATAGTTATATATATATATATATATGGAACATATATGTCTATAGAAGGATAGAAAAGATTGCATCATAAATGAGGTTACATACCAATCAAGGCGTAAAGAAGTAAATAATTTATTGGTCAGTTAATTGTTGAACAATTTATTCCCAGTTTGACCTTTCAATCGTATATTTAATCAAATATGTTACATATTTACTTAATGAGATATTTTTTTTTAATTATTATTTACATTAATTCAGGTGACCAATCAAAATATTTATTCATTGGGACTAGTTTATTTTTTCTATTCGATAAGTTTTCTAATCAATATTAAAAATGTCAATAGTTGAAATCATGTATCACCATCATGGAAACCTGAAAGCACTGGACGGCCGTTTCCTCCTATTGTGGGACTCCTCAGCAGTGCCCATCCATGACCCCGCCCCCGTGAGATTCGAACTGAGGACCTATCAGTCTCGCACGCGAGCGCTTAAACATTGAACCACTGATCCGGCATCCATCGGCGTTTCGGTGTACGGTGGCGCAATTTCTTGGATTGGTTGAAGTTAAACATTAACACTGTTGGATGCCGACCAGCTCAGTGGTCTAACGGTTAAGCGTTCGCGCGCGAGACTGATAGGTCCTCGCGAAGCGGGATCGTGGGCGCGCACCACTGAGGAGTCCCACGATAGGACGAAACGACCGTCTAGTGCTTCCAGGCTTTCCATGGTGGTCTAGCTTTATATAACTCATGATCTCAACTATTACAATTACTACAATCTCCACAAAACCTCTCCTCATTTGCGAAGATTGTTGAATTTTATAGGTAAATATATATAGTGTAGATATATGGTTTGTGTGTGCTACTTATGTTTGTAGTCGTATGTAACACCAGTCGAGAGTGAAATGTCTGAGAGCAAGTGGTTGAGAAACTTGAAATGAAAAGAAGAGAAAAGTAAAGCGAAAGCTATCAAGATAACAACAGTAATGAAGGAATAATGAAGCTTGTGAGAGACAATTTAGTGATGTGAAAATAATATATTTGATGTATGATTTTCACATTTTACTAAACCACTGTGTGATTGTTTATCAAACAATAGATTGGTTTTCTCCACCTGAGTTCTTGTTCACCATGGATATGCAATGCAGCATACCAGAACAAAATGGATTCTCAACATTTCGTGCTGCTTACTGGTTGTTTAACTAAGATCAGTCCGTAATATAAGCCATAATTGATAATAAAGTGACCGAATCAAGCTAAAAATTATAATAGTTGATAAAATCATACACTACTCTTGTAATGATCTGTACGTCTCTGATCTAAGCCCATTACGTAGCCATAATCACTATCTGAAAGCTTAAGATATCATGACTTTACACCTATTGTAGTGATTCATTGACCAAATATTGAGTTTTGGTATGGTTTTATGATTTTTAATAACTGGTTTTATGTTCAGTTTCCATCATTTGTAACGAAAGACACTGAAGTAGGATTTTGTTATGAATATAAACGCTAAAATGTGGGTACATCCAACTAATGAGTCCCAAGTAAAACGAAATAAGTACCCTGGGTTCTACCGCTGATCACAATTCTAATACAAAAAATTCATCTTAAACTTAGCTGATACTACTGGATAAAGGTAGGCTGGATTATAATGTTGTACCTTCTGTCCCCTTTAATGTCTACTGTAAATTGCGCAGCTATTACATGGGGACGAATCCATTGTTTAACGAAAAATTTGAGTTTGGATAAATTTTGAATTCTCAACTATTTCTCAAGTATGTGTCGAAGTTTTATAAAATGACTGATTTAGTATTTTCCGTTCCCTTCACAAATTAGTTTCAAGTTTCCTTTTTATCTCTAGTCGATAAAATAGGCTAAATTCTGAACACCAAACATTCTTGTTCAATTATACAAGCATTAGTTATTAAATTACCGTATTACAAAATTGTTCTGATGACTAATAGTGCGAATTTTGTGAAAAGCATTTCAGATATCTGACCAACTAACTTCATTATCAAACTGAAATCTAAGGGAAATTCTTGATAGATCACAAAAAACTTGAAAAGATTTATCATCGTGAACATATCATGATGAATCGATAAACAATCAAGGGATTTCTTTCGGGAAAGAAGTCACATTTAGATAATGAAATTACTAACCTGACTTGATGCAGGAACAAATAAGCCTTCGATATACATTTTGCTGATCATTTCCACTGTGAATAATAATGCAACCATCAAATCCAAGATAAAAGTAATATACATTAATACTGGAACTTGTTTAAATGTATCCGGTGTATTCATACTAACTGATGCTAGACTGATCATAGCAGCTGTTCGAAACATTATTCTATAAAGAAAATTTAGAAAATAAGGTCAAAGATTTGAAAGAGTAAGATGTTTTTTTAATTTCGAATATATTCAAACATATAACTAAGAAGGAACGAATGAGGTGTACAACATATAACCGGTAACGATTTAACTCGATGCACGATGTTGACTAGTATATGAGTAGGTTTGAAGAAAGTCCAGGGGCCGTCAAACTAAGTGATTGCATCAATGAATCGCATCTATGAATTCGTTGACTATCAGACTGAACCACGTAGATAAGTGAAGACTACCTAATTGGTTTCTGTGTGATTATCGTATCCAACAGTTTTCGATGTTAGATGACATTGTTTAGAATAGGTCTTAATGGAGCAGGTGCTTCTACTACGTGTCTCTACTTAAGTCATGAGTTCTAAAATTATTTTATATGCCTTACTATGTGTATAGATTCATTTTCCACGAATCATAGCGTATGCACCTAATATTTTTTACTTCCACTGAGACTGTTACTACCTCTACAACTCTGACGTATATTTTGGTATTTTTCATCTCGATGTGTTAATCTATAACATGAACTGATAAATATAAGTTCCAGGTTCTCAGTTAAATATGACTGACTAACTTAACAAATGAATGTGATAAAAATAATTTGTGGTGCATGAAATAACGTTAAAATGAATGTATATATATATATAAAAGTGTAATTTGATTTACTCGACTACATGGGTAAATGCTTAGCACTTTTAGTAATTAACTAATTATATCAGAAGAGGTTTTGTGGAGATTGTAGTAATTTTAATGATTGAAATCATGAGTTAATTGAAGCTAGAACTCTATAGAAAACTTTGAAGCACTGGACGGCCGTTTCGTCCTATGGTGGGACTCCTCAGGAGTGTGCATTCACGATCCCGCCCCTGTGAGATTCAAACCCAAGACCTATCAGTCAAGAGGCATTTTCTAGAGTTCTAGTGAGAAACCGTGACCATTGGAGATCAACAAGGTCTGTTGTGAGATATCAGCTCACTGAAGATAATGGTGTACGGCGGCGCAATTTCGTGGATTGGTTGAAGTTAGACATTAACTCCGCTGAATGCCGACCAGCTCACTGGTCTAAAGGTTTCAGTCTCGCGTGCGAGACTGATAGGTCCTCGGGAGGCGGTATCGTGTCATTAACCATTCATATCCAGGTGGACATTTGCATAAAAATTTTCATTTGTGTCAAACTGAATACCATATTTCATATACAAATAAGAATACTATATCCAATTAATCATATCGTAAAGATATTAAGAACACTAACTTGGGTCAACGTACATGCACAGTGTCGAGGACATTTCGCTTAAGTTTATTAATAAACCACTTCATTTCACTTCATATTCTATCTACATGATTGTTAGCATTCATGCGAATAAAATTGTAATGACACAGTTTTTATGATAATTGAGGGAAATAAAATTTATTTGACAAAATACTGAACTTGATCTTATATTTCATGCTGATTAACATGAATAAGTAATATTTATTTACCCACGTAAAAGCCGATTAAGCCTTTAAAGAATTCAGTCCTTTTTAATTAATTCCATAAAAAAGACAAATGATATCTTTGAGCTATTTAAGCCATTAAATATTTTATTTTTTAAAGAGGTATCTATTAAATTTGATAACAATTTCCTAAATCAAAATTTTTTCTATCGATGCCCTCTTATGAACTAAAAATGCCTAGCTTATTAAAATACTTTTTTATTGATTTTCCTATGGTTGTAATTCAGTGTCAACTCTGAACTGAGATGACTACCAACAGTTATTGTATATTTATTAATTTTTATTGGTTATTGTAACTATGTATGCTAGATGTACTGTATAAAAACACACTGAACACTGTGATTTGTATATTTGTCTCTGTTGTTATCAGAAATGAGGATTTAAGAAGATTATATAATATTTAAAACAAAATACGATATTCGACATTAATCTTCTATTCATTGATTATATAGCTTCATTTCATTACGTTTATACCGGCTGAATAAATATCTCATTTTAATAGTTGAATTCATGAGTCGATCTAAGCTGGGGCACCATTTTAAACCTGGAAGTAGTGGATGGCCGTCTTGTCCCAGTATGGGGCGCCTTAGCAGTGAGCATCCACAATTGAATCATGAATTAAACTATTAAAAATTACTACAATCTCCGCAAATCTCCATAATCTTTTGCACACTAGTAACAAGCCTCAAGATGGATTCCTTGGAGTTCTAATGAGAACCTGTGATCAATAGAGTCCAATTCGTGTCGGGTAGAGACAGTTATCCACCTCCGACAATAAATGAAAGATTGTGCGAGATCATAGATCGGTTGAAGTTAGGCAGTAACACCGTTAGATGCCATCTCAATTGTCTAAAGGCTTAGCGTTCGCGTGTGAAACCAAAGATCTTTGGTCCAAGTCTCGTATGCAAGATCATGGATGCTCACTCGTGAGTATTCCCATACTAGTACGAGACAACCTTCCAGTTCTTCCAGCTTTTCGATGATATTCTAGCTTAGATCAACTCATGAATTCAACTATTATAAACTTATTACAATCTCCATAAATCTTCATTCTGAAAATGTTTCATTTACTAATATTTTCTTTCTTTTTTGCTTTTTACATAAACGAGCTAGTCTACTTATCCTAAAAGGAGAGAGAGGGAGATAAAATAAATAGATAGAAAGAAAAATAGAAACCGTTTTTCTCATTCATACATCTATTTACCTTTATTCTGATTGGATTATTGGACTGATGAGAATAAAATAATCAATGAGAATTTCAGACTAGCTATCTAAACATTTAGAATATTCTTGGTTTTTATTTTTAATATTTAATTCTTCTTATAACTGTCATATTTTGTATTCATTTTTAAGAAAAATGTATGAAATATGATTATAGATTATTAACATTAAAATATAAGTGTAATTTATAAACTTTTATCAGTATAGGGGATTGTGCAGATTATTAAGTTGTTGATTGAGATCATGAACCGACTGATGTTAGAACATCGTTGGAAACCTGGAAGCACTGGATGGCCGCTTCGTCCTATTTTGAGACTCCTCAGCAGTGCGCATCCACGATTCCACTTGCGGGATTCGAACCCAGGGCCTTCACTCTCGTGCGCGATTGCTCAGCCTACTGGACCTACTGGATGCCGGCCCAGTGGTTACAGCCAATCCCAAGCCCGTATAAAGAAGGAGGGTTGTGCATGGGGTTAGTGACCCCATCCCATAGAAAACTAACTCGCTAAAAAAGAACGCTTTTGAGATTCCTCAGTACAATATAAGTCTGTGATGTGTACTTCCTTTGTGCTATGGGATGTCATGCTAGGATCTTGATGATTAGTCTGGTATTTTCATCCTAACTTTGTTATTAATTATGAATCCTAAAAAACACAATAAATCATTCGATTTCATTTTATTACAGTAAGAGTTTCGTTTTATAGTTTTCTTTTTTTATTCAGATTAAATAATAATAAATTAACCTTGTAACTTGAGGGCATAGCATATTAGGCCTACTTAATGTTATTAGGGCCACATTAAACAACCTTAGAATCACATGTAAATTTCGCCTAGTCTGATAGTAATGAGATTTTGTATATCTAAGCTTGAATAGTTAAGAACATTATAAGATATTTACTGTAATATACATATTTCGTCATAAACAGTTCATAAACATAACTAAATATTTATCATACTGACCAAATTAATCTTTTTTCCACAAAAATAATTATACGGAGACATTGCATAGTGTACAAGGAGTTATCTTTTTTATTCTGAGATGCCTAAATTATTATAGTTTAAAAAGACAACTGAAAGTTTCTTTCGTTCAGCTCATTTCCTCTATATATAATAGTTCAAATCATTCAATAATAATAATAGTAATGATGATAATAATAGTTTTATTTAGCATCATAGAGCATTATAGAATTATCAACACATAATCTGGGATATTTCGAAAAATATCTACTTGCTGATATTTTTTTGACCAAAAAGCAGTAATATTTGAGAATGGGGATGTGTGGAGATAATAGTAATTTAACAATTAAATTCATCAGTCGATCTAAGCTAGATCACCATTGAAAACCGTCTAATGCTTCTAGGTTTTTCAAATAAAGCCATAACAAACATAGATGCAGAATAATATGAATTCTTATTAGACCATCATGGCAGTCTAGCTTCAAGTGACTCATGAATTCAACTATAAATTTACTCGAATTTCCACAAAACCCCTGTTTATAATAATAATCATATGCTCACTAGTTACTGTTTCCAAGAGTTATTTTCTGGAATCCTAGTGAGAAACAGTGACCAGTGGAGTTCAACCGGGTGAGTTGTGAGATAGTAACTCACTGATGACAGTGGTGGATGTGTCGCCCAATTTCATGGATTATTTGAAGTTAGACATTAACACCGTTGGACGCCGACCAGCTCATTGGTCTAGAGGTTAAGCGCTCGTGCACGAGACTGATAGGTTTTTGCTAAGCGGGATCGTGGATGCGCACTGATGAGGAGTCCCATGCTAGAACAAAACAGCTGTTTAGTGCTTCCAGGTTTTCCATGGTTACCTATCGTCAGTTGGCTCATAATTTCAGCTATAATATGAATTCATTATATTTCGTGGTTTCTCATCAATTGCTTACAACCATATATGTATTGAAAGTTAACATTGTAAACAGCTGATAAAAAACCACGATATATAATCAATTCATATTATTCTGCATCCATGTTTGTTCTGACTTTATTTAAACTCATAAAAGGAACCAAGTGTATGAAATTCTGGGTTTTCACTGATGATCTAGTTTAGATGGACTCATAAATTCAACAATTGTATATATTAACAGTTCCATATTCCAATGGTTGAGATCATCAATCAGTTGAAGCTAGACCACCATGGAAAACCTGTAAGCACTGGACGGCCATTTCGTCCTATTGTGGGACTCCTCAGCATATGTCCGTTAGTTTTTATACAAGTAATTGAATAGTAATATTTTTAAAAAA